GTAGTTCTTAGTCTGTATAATTAGCAATCTTTCTCTCTTATGTCCAGTTGAATAAATACTTTTATCAGTTAGTGTTAGTTATGACATCTGCTGGATCAGAAACAGATTTAATTTCATCGGGACAAATTATTAAAAACCGATGGCGTATTATTAAGAAAATTGGCGGTGGTGGTTTTGGTGAAATATACGAGGCTCAAGAGGAAAATTCCAGAGAAAGAGTCGCTCTTAAATTGGAGTCTACGAAGCAATCGAAGCAAGTTCTCAAAATGGAGGTAGCCGTTCTTCGAAAGCTTCAGGATAAGGAACACTTTTGCAAATTCTTTGGCTGTGGTCGTACGGAAAAATACAATTACATTGCAATGTCTATTCAGGTACCTTTTTCACTACCTGAGTTATCAATTAATTTTGCTCTTAATATTTTTCACCTATATTTACAAGTGTCAATAATCTAAGAAATTTTATTTTTTCCACATTATTTGTATTGTCATAATTTTTGCGTATTTGTGAGTTTTATAATTATATTATAATTAATTTTATTTGATGCTAATAATTTTGTTATGAAATTTTTTTCTGCTTGATTGCATTTAATTTTATTAAGTCCTTAAGGTTTCCTAGTTCTTAATATTGCTCCATCCATCAACAGCTGTCATATTTACCTGTTTATTCTACTACCATTTTCAGGGTTGTTTCCTTTATTATATGTTAATTTTTTCGCTATTTTTTCCTAGTATATTTTCTAGATTTTCTGTTACTTCCACAATTTTTATTTTGTCTATTTCGCTTTTATTTTTGTTGAGGAACTAATAAATTCAAATTCTGCTTTACTTTAAGTTGTAATGGCTTGTTGATGCTTGGTTTTCATGCTTATGTCTGCTTGGCAAGATGTTGCCCAAACATCTAGACTTGGCTACACTTTTATCAAATGACAGATCTCAATGTAGTAAAATGCCGACATGAAAATTTTAAATATTTTCATTTTCTACATATTTCATAGACAGCCATCGTTCCCGATAAGTCAGGTCTTACGTCTTTTCTTTACATACAATTTATCGCATTATTGCATCTTCATGATGTCTTATTCGTTCTTACTGATATAGAATTACTATTTAGTAGATATGTTTGGAGAATTGTAACGAATTAAAGGGTGCTTGTGTTTAATGCATTTCGTATGAAGGAAAGTGTTTGTTTTTGCTTGTGGAAAACTAGTTTTGACAATTTCGATGTTATTATTACCATTAGAATTATCGAGAGCGTTCTACAACGTCTCGCTCCTATTATTTTCCATTCTCACAATTATTTCGCTGGATAAATGATGAGGGTTTTTTGTATGTATGTCCAAATCACTTCTTATTTGCTTGACAGTGGGTGAAAGCTTGCATTTTTACGGTTTATTAGGTTTGAGTAGCGTCGTCTTTCCTATCTACGAGCTGTTCACATGCAGTGGTTTGCTAATTTTGCATTTGTCGGATTTCACAAATAATTACGCTGTTGTGGGCACCTAAATTTTAATTTCAAATCATCCAGTGAGGTTAATTGGATGTCATTGGTAATAAAATTTCTTCATCCAAAGTTTAAGTGCTTGTCTTTTTGTTGTTTACCGCATTCTGACGACCATTATTGTGTTCTAAGTTATTTTGTAATCGTCTTCATGATAACTAGTACTTTAAATTGTGAATATACTGGCTCTTCAGTTAGGTCGAGTTTTGAGATCCTTATCGCATGCTAGTTGAATACGCTGGGGGCATAGTAGTTGGGCGGAAATTTTTGGCTTTAACAAATCCATAAGTCGTCGTTAGTATATTGTGTTTATGTGCCGGCAGCAAAAATTAGTTTTAATGGTGGTGCTAACTGAATTATTTATTTATTTCAAATGGCAGGCGTTTTGATAGTTATCATCAACCCTTTAGTTGACTTCGGGCTTCATAGAGAGAAAGAGGGACATCAAAGTGACAAGTCGAGGTGGG